AGCGTGAACAACCCTGTATATACGATAGTGGTGCGGACTGAACCGAATCAAGTTTATCTTAAGCAAGCAGTTGTGCATAAATAAATAATAAGTATTCATTAATTACTTTTGCGTTTCTGGTCGGAAATATCTCCGTTTTTACTTCGTATCATTTTTTTGACCTTTACTGATATATTCGTTGTTGCGCTACAATACGCAAAGGAATTTTATTAGATTTTGCCCAATCCGAGTGTTCTTTCGTGTGTTTTGCATACACCGCTACAGACAAATGGTAAGTGCAATCAAGAGCAGTTAAGAGCAGTTTCCTTCCTTCAGGTAAAGGGTTTAGAATCGAATGGAAGATTGAAGAAAATTGGTCAATTGGTAGGTTTAATGGGTGTTTGTGTTCAAACCAGTGTCGTTCAACAAAAAGGCGATGGTTGAACCGAGCCCTTCGAGCACTACACTGGTTTCTTGCCAAAAATATGAAAATGTAAAACAGCATAATTCAAAATGCCCTGATGATGATTTAAAGCAAACCTTTTCCACATATAGAACGCTTTTTGCCCTGCCAAAGGCACTTGAAAGTGAATATCCAGGCTGCCAACTTAGGCCTGCATAAACAAGCGCAAAATGCTTTCGAAATTTTCTTCAAACCTTGAGAAGACCGGATCCTGACCCAAGATATCATGATGATAAAATACGACGACCTGCTTAATTATCCGCAAAAATTGTGCGCAAATTTATAAATTGCCTGAGGGTCACTAAGAATCGGGACTTTTCACGCTTGTAGAACAAACGTTGCCCTGCAAAATGCGCATAAAAGCGACTCTCTCATTTGGTTAGTTGCTGAGGAAATAAATGCCAAACTCGCAACGTTGCAGAAGCAACCTCGTAAGTCCAACGCAAGTTTGAAAAATTGCCCAAAGACTCTTGGAAAAATTTCAAATAAAGGGAAATAAACTAGGAAAGAATCAGCAAAAGAAGGAGCATCGGGAACCTGAGACGAGAGGGAATTTACAACTTTAGTTATGATATTCTTATCTTTCCTGGGTCTCAGTCAAAGTGTGAAGTAAAAATTTTGAACATCGTTTATTTCATTAGGTTCGTTTTGGCGAGACAACAGCGCCATCATCAGATTTAAAATTTACACAAACTCATGATTGGTAAAAATCAACGTTCTTTTAGGTCTTTGCCTTCTT